TATATTATTATTGTTTTACATTTTAGAGCCCTATGTGGTAAATAACATTATTCCTTAACTTCTCTTCATTTTACAGATGACGGGGATTGAGGCACAGAGAGGGTAAGGGAAGCGCCCAAGGTCTAGCTAGCAAGGTGTGGAGCCTGGAGCTGAACCCGTGAACTCTGAGTTCAGAGTCTTTGTTCTTGATCACCAGAAGAGAAAAGATGTAGTCACAGGACTTTCTCAGGAATCTCGGTGTCAGATCTTGAGGGGACCCCTGAGAATGGGAGGGCGTATGCCTTGAGTTTCTAAGAAGGAAAGCAGGTGACTCTCAGAAGCAGGAACTCCTGCAGTGGCCTGGCATGGATTCTGGCAAACCGCAGGGCTAACTGGAAGCAGATGGATTACGGATACTCAGAAAAGGGAGCCGTGAGCCCTGGGAGCCTGCGTGTCTGACAGCAAGAGTAAGTCAGGACCAGTGAACCCCGTCTTCTTACTGGAAGGGACCACCGGCCTCTGATAGAATGGTGACTCTTGAGCTCAGCAATGCATTGGACGGTCTCCGTAACGGATAGCTTTGTTGACAAGCAGGCACATAGCTCTGTGTTCGCTCTCGGTAACTCTCTAATAATGTGAGTCGTTGACCAAGTTCACTCAAGTAGAGTGGATTAATGAATTGAGGTCAGGGGTTAACACTTGTGTCTGGCACATCAGAGTCACGTGATAGAGATGAATTGAACGGAGGAACCGGAAAGGGGGGATCTACTTCTGTGATGACCCCTGACCTACCTCCTGTTCTTTTTTCTCTGTGACAAAGAGTCATGCCAAACTATGGTAGACTTATCTGATGGGTGGCGGATGCCTAGTTCGGGAGAAAATGTCGTCCCTGGATGACTGCAGTGGTTTCTAATAAGATAACATGCTGCAAAGAGGCAATCAAGACCATTTTTTGCAAGGTAAACTGGCAAGATTACAGTGAAGGTTTGAAAAATACCCAAACCAGCCCCACACCAACAATAAGGCATGTTCAGAAAGAGGGAGATCTTTTAGGGTGATTCACTGAGGATGAAAAACAATCTAATGGTTTTAATTGACTACAGGTTTACCATAAGTCGAGACTGTTCTATGTCTGCTCAAGTTGCTCGGTAGCACGCTGGGCCCCATTAATAAATGACTGCCTCACAGATGAAGGCATGCAATGGTCCTGTAGTACATATTAATCAGAGTCCACCTGGAGGCTCAGTGCCAATCCCGGGAGCTACATTTTACAGAAGAAGTATAGGCAGAAGTTGGAGCTCTAGCCTAGGTGACCAGAATGATCAAGGGTCTGTAAAGTGGTGCTGACAGAAATGATGGTAGCCCTGGTGAAGACAAATAGTAGAGGAAACACAATATTCGGCTCAGCTGGATCCAGTGGGAAAAAGAGAAACAGCTTTCCTCTCAGTATGAAGAAATAAACAATTAGAATGATTTCTAAGGCAAATAGGCTATTGAGAAAAGTAGTCTCCTTTCGACTCTCTGGAGGACTCAAATTGGTTTTAGTAGGGCTCACCACCAAAGAGGCTATTGCCAAGGAGATATTTTTGGATTTTAGGTCAAGATTCGGGCAGATGAATCTATAGTTTCTTTTGATTTTAAAACTTCTGAGCGTGCGAGTAGCACCGCTTTCATGAATGGCCTTCCTCTACACCTTGGAGTGGATGAAATTACTTTGTACATGTCTGTCAATGCCTGCACATACATTTTTTAAAAAGGATACTTAGGAGCCTGCAGATTATCTTGGCGTATACAATATGCATGAAGAAACAGTATTGGTCTCAAATAAAACTACTTATGGTCCGCAATAGCTACCTGCGCCCTTACTTACATAATGAAGAATGCCGCATACATGTTACTTATCTCCGATACAGTGGAGGCCTATTTTTTAACCCAGCACAGAGATTTTTGACTTTTTGTTTTAGTAAGCCAAAGGACAGGATGGCAATCACCCATGCCTTCTTACCTCTCCCCTCTTTCCCATCATGCCACACCATTAAGGGGACTTGAGTCAAGGTCATGCAAACCCAAGCTGTTCCATTTGGAATGAAAGAAAACCAGATAGAACAGATGATACATGGGATGTGGGAATGAAGTTCAAGTTGGACAGAAGCCCAGTTTTTTCAGCAATATCCAAGTCGATCGTTTCTCTCCTTTGCTCCAAAAGGGAACTAACTGCCCATTAAATGTCCTTGTGACCTTTAGGACAGTTCTGACGCATTCCATTAAATACAGGGATTTCAATTCTGGCGGGCTTTGCTCAAGCCTAACTTGGGCGGAAAAAGGTACCTTCTGGCACTGAGTGTCTCAAAATTTTACTTCTGTCTCTACCCAAAGTGCTACTGTTCATTCCACCTCAGTCTGCTTCAGCAGGCTCACATGGTAAGCTCAGACTTTGGAGGACAGGTGCCAAAGCCTGTAGCACAGGATTCTTTCTTACCTGACTGGTGGCGGCCAGCTCCCGGATCAAGCTAATCTGACTTTCATCTTCAACACTGACCCGGAACACCTTCTCACTGAGAGAGGAGGAAGAATAGGAAAAATGAACAAATGGATACTAAATCCAGAATTTGGGTTCTAGCCTCAAATATAAGCACAGAAGAGGGCTTGCCCACATTGAAGGAGTTGCTTCCTTACCCTTCAAAGTGCTCCCCAGAAAGGTGGGCAGATGCCAGGAGTGCATTCACGAGAACCAGGAACGCCAACATTGTGCCTGAGCAGCTGTGCTGGGTGCCTTGCACGGCCTTTTATACTCTAGGGTGTTCCTTAGTTTCTTCTGATTACAAATTCGCGCTATCAAACTTTGATTAATGGGTTTCCCAGCAATTTTGCCTCAGTATCTGTGTCAAGCCTGAGAGAATCTCTCTCTTAACACCTGTGAATGCAGAGCAAACAATCTGAAGGTAAAACGATGGAATTTTATTACCAGACCTTGAACAGCCGGGGAGTAAGTGGACCCTAAGCCAAAGCCATCAGGTAGTTGTTGTTGTTGTTGGCACTTGTTGTTGTTGTTATTGATGGCCAAAGCCATCATCATGTTTTCGTTGTTGGCATTTTTGAATGAAAATAGTTCTGCATACAATAAGTTGTGTAAGTTTAAGGGGAAAGTTTCATACATTTTGACAAATACAAGGGGACTTTGAAACATTTGTGAAAACTGCATCCCCTCACACACGGGTCACAAAGAAGGGATGAGTCAACCAGGACACAGTCTAGCAC